AGTTGTGCTTTGAATCTTTGATTATCAAAAGTTGGACATCCAGACTCCCTCAAGAAGACACTAACTGTTAGACAAAAGATTAAAATGACCTAATCATGGATGATTTGCAGCCGTACCCTATTTTTATGTCACCTTTTAACCTATACTTTGTTTTTAAAAACTATTGATTTCGTAACCAACTAACAAAAAATCCGTAATAATATGACCATTATACCCCTTCCAAAACATATAAAGGTCTGTCTCTCCTCCGTATTCCCAAATTCAAATTCCAGATCTCCTCCGTATCTCCTCCATCAGTCCGTCTCTCCGGAGATCGCGTCTCGCATTCAAATTCCATATTCAAATTCCAAATTCAAATTCAAATTCAAATACATTGTAAGTATTCAAATTCATCTCCAGAGTTCAAAAATAGTTTTTGAATTATATGTTTTCTGATTGATTGATTGAATTATATGCTGAATTTGCAATTCTAAATCTATTTGACGATGAATTCTAACATTCTAAGCTGAAGTTATTTAGTTAACGAGCTGGCAAATAACACATCGAAGAAGAAATTATATTAAACATTATATGATTGTTTAAACTTCGGCATAGTTGCTGAAGTTTTTTGTTAATAATTAAAAGCTGAAGTTTTCCTCGTACACTGGGTAAAAAATAATAAAACATAAATTAAAATTTCATACTGCATCAAAAAACTTCGGCATAGTTGCTTAAGTTTTTTGTTATTACTTAAAAACTTCAGCAGGCGGAGCTGAAGTTTTCCTCCTACATTGGCTAAATTAAAAATTCATATTGCATCAAAAACTTCGGCCTAGGTGCTGAAGTTTTTTACTTATTACTTAAAAACTTCGGAAGGAGGAGCTGAAGTTTTCCTCATACACTGGCTAAATTAAAAAATCATATTACACCAAAAACTTCGGCCTAGGTGCTGAAGTTTTTTAGTTATTATTTAAAAACTTCAGCAGGAGGAGCTGAAGTTTTCCTCCTACACTGGCTAAATTAAAAATTGATATTGCACCAAAAACTTCGGCCTAGGTGCTGTAGTTTTTTAGTTATTATTTAAAAACTTCAACAACAGGAGCTGAAGTTTTCCTCCTACACTGGCTAAATTAAAAATTGATATTGAATAGAATTAATATTAGAAAAAACGCACAAAAAACTTGTAACAAAAACTTAACATTTCATTAAACATTAAAACGATAAATTAACATAAATAACAAAATAACAAAAATAACAAAAAGAAAAACTAATTGTCCATATTATCATCATCGTCGTCGTCATCGTCGTTGTCACTACCAGATGGACGAGCATCTTCATCAGCAAGATTATCAAATCTTGCATACATCAAAAGCGTATCGAGTTTGTGGTTGATTTCTTCGAGCTCCCTGTCATATTTGTCTATCACCTCATCCAGTTTTAATTCAAATGCCTCCATAATGTCTTGCTTCAGCTCTTCTACTATTTGCCTTATGACAGCATCCATTTTTCTTCTTTTTGTATTTTATGTATGCTAGAATATATTTGTTTGAGTGAATAAACTCTCAAAGTATAGCGTGCTTTTATAGAGGGAAAAAATTGTGCATGGTATATGAAAAGGCAAAGAGGAATTTTAAACGTTGTCTAAAGAAAAGCGTGCATGAATGTGATAGGAATGTAATTATTAGACTAACACATAACCCTAACGGAATATAATTACTATTTTAATTGTCTTTATTATGTTCACTCCTGTGTACTATGCAATTAATGATGAAACGTGCTCAAGTTTGTTGAATTCATTTTCAAATAACTTCAGCTCAATGTGCTGAAGTTATTTAGTTCATTTCTAAAAACTTCAGCACTTGATAAGCTGAAGTTTTTCCCCTACACTCGATAGTTTTTGTCCTAAAGCTTTTTCAAATAACTTCAGCTTAATGTGCTGAAGTTATTTAGTTCATTTCTAAAAACTTCAGCACTTGATAAGCTGAAGTTTTCTCCTGCACTCGATAGTTTTTGTCCTAAATCTTTTTCAAATAACTTCAGCTCAATGTCCTGAAGTTATGTAGTTCATTTCTAAAAACTTTAGCACTTGATACTGAACTTTTTGTCCTGGACTCGATAGTATTTGTCGTAAAGCTTTTGTTTATTTAGTGTATTTAGTGATGAGCTGAAGTTTTTGTCCTACATTTGATACTTTTGTTATGACTTTTAACCAAAACTACAGTCTACAGGATGAATCCGATTTGCGTTGTTATAACTTTCAATGGGAGTTGGACTCCTGATTTCAAATACTTGGATCATGATACAAAACTTGTTCTACTTAATAAGGACATATCATTCAATAGTTTCCTGAAGAAAATTAGTGAAGTTGCAAATATTGATTCAACCAGATATACATTAAAAGTATGGTTTGATATCAAACTAAATACAAGCAAAGGAATGCTTGTAACTTCAGATGAAGAACTCAGTCCGTGTATACATTTGCTTACAACTGATTCAGCCTACAAGAATTGCCATTTCGTCATCGAAAAAATACAACCTTCAGAATCTGCAGCATTCAACCAATCTCTCGCATATGCGTTAGATTCAGAACCTTCTGCTGACTATCAACATGAAGTACGACAGCTAATAATGGAAGTAGACAACGGGCAACAACCTTCTAACATTACAGCTACTTCAGAATACATAGTGCTGCAACAATTACCCCCTCCTCTAATAAATTCATACCAGTTTGTCGATGACCAAGAAGAAGAAGGACAACTAATAATGCAAATAGACAACCAACACACAATCCAACAAACCTTTTTGTTACCTTCTGCAATGATAAGCAACAATGAAGATGAATTAAACATGGATCTTATACCGATAACATCAGATAGAATTGAAGAAATTGCTGAAAGTTCTTGTACTTCTCAGAAATCAAGAAAAAGAGTGAGGAGAAAGGTGAAAGAATCTCCACCATGTAAAATACTTAGGCACGATGCGTTGCCTGAGGAAGTAAGAGTTGGATCAGTCTCCACCATGTAAAATACTTAGGAGCCATTTGTTCAAAAAAAGTAAAAGATACAAAAAATAACATCAGGACATTATCAAAAAGATCAGTTAAAAGTTCAATACATAGGAAGGCTGAAGTTCGACAGGTATAAAACAAAAACTTCAGCTATAGAGCTGAAGTTCGACAGGTATAAAATAAAAACTTCAGCTATAGAGCTGAAGTTCGACAGGTATAAAACAAAAACTTCAGCTCTAGAGATGGACTTCACCAGTAACAAACACAAAAACTTCAGCTCTAGAGATGGACTTCACCAGTAACAAACACAAAAAACTTCAAGCTACTTAAAGCAGAACTTCACCAGTTACAAGCACAAAACATTCAGCAAAAAAACTTCAGCTATAGAGCTGAAGTTCGACAGGTATAAAACAAAAACTTCAGCTATAGAGCTGAAGTTCGACAGGTATAAAACAAAAACTTCAGCTCTAGAGATGGACTTCACCAGTAACAAACACAAAAACTTCAGCTCCTAAAACTGGACTTCACCAGTTACAAACACAAAAACTTCAGCTCCTAAAGAAGAACTTCACCAGTTACAAGCACAAAACATTCAGCAAAAAAAACATGCTGTAATTTTTACACAAAACAAAAACACAAAATTCAAATCCAAAAAATAATGCCAAAACATGAAAAAAAGCTTCAGCTCATATCTAAGATATCATTGAACTATAGTATCATCTGTTTAACTCTCAAAATTTTTAAAAATTTGAACGTCTAATCACAAAAGAAATTATAGAATTTTCATTAATAACATAAACACTCGTTCAAAAAACCTAAAAATACAATCGTAAAAGTAAAACTAATGCACTTATCAAACTAAACCCTAAGAAAATATTTTATCATAAATACATGACTATCAAAACCAAAATCAGAAATTAAATCGTAAAATAAACCCAGAAAGTTAATGCAATGTACCTGCGATTAAATTGTAATGTAGGAACAACGACGACTAGCAGTTGAAAAATCAAAAACAACGACGAAAACCGTTTGATTTCAGAGAAGAACTTCAAAAAACGCGAATAACGGGAGAGAGAGAGACAGAGAAAGTAGAGGACTAGCGAATACTTGGAGAGAAAGTAGTCTTTTTAATAAGGAAGGGCAAAATGGTCTTTTCAAATGGCTTTTAACAAAAAAACGGGTACGGGTGCAAACAGAAAGACAAAGCGGCTACAGGTTAAAAAGGGGCGCCCAAATAGGGCGCCCTGTGCAATTTTTACCCTAATCATAGGTGTGTATGATCATACAAAAATTGTAGTAAATAATAGATAAATTAAATTCAAATTTAATTGGTGGAGTCGTCTATTATTATCTTAATTCTATTGAGATGACGAGCGGTTTTAAGAAATAGTATTTATAAAGAGGAAGTAAATTATACGAAATTAAATCTCTTTTGAGATATGTGTGGTATGATAATATCACTAGTTATTGTTTGTCATATCTTAGGTGGTACCATATGTAAACATAACAATACTTTTAAATCAACATCTAAATAATATTTGGTTTTCTTATATTTTGTTTGTCGCGGGTAAAACGATATACAAAATATATACAACTAGTATACACATTATATGTAAATTGTAATTTTTGATTGGATTATATACAAAAAATATGTATTTATGTAGAAGATAAATTGTAGACTTTGACCAAATTTGTATTTATTTTGTAAGAAACTTTAATTAATTAGAAAAACTTAAATAAACTGAGTAAATAAGTTTAAAATTTCGTATATATACGAAAAAGTCTCTTTACGAAATTAGTTTGCGTTACCATTGTCTCAAAGAATTATTTCCCCACTCTGAAATAATATATGATTTTGTTAAAAAACAGAAAAAAGAAAAAAGAAGAATTATAAGCTCCCCACTCCGAAATAATATATGGTTTTGTTAAAAAAAGAAAAAAGAAAAAAGAAGAAATATAAGCTCCTCCAACCCGCGTTCCCGCGTTACAAGCCGGTTACGGTTGATTATTCCATTTATTTATTTAACAATCGAACAACAGTAGCATTTTATAATTTAAGTTAAAAAAAAACAGGTCAAAAATATAACAAAGGAAAAGGCAAAGTAAATTTTGATCATCACCAACCTGCTAAGTATTTGGGACCGCTTCACTTGCTTCTCAGGTACCTATTATCTCCATTTCTGTATTCTTGTTTTTGGTTTTCTTCTTCTGGATATTTATTAAAATTGTTACATACAGCTAGATATTGTTTATTTAATTCCAAGTTTGATCCGACTTTTCGTATTTATGAGTAATGGTTAGTGATGATTCCTGTAGTTGACTCTAACCAGATTGAGATTAAGGCAAAGTTATTGGAGATGAAGAATAGATATTTCTGTAAGAGGGTTTTAGCTTTAGATAATTTGTGGGGTTGGGCTTATTTAATTCCTCTTATCATTTTTTCTTAAATTTATGAGTGACTAACGAAAAATTCCATTTTCCCCCACCCTGTCCCCGCTCCCCTCCTGTGGAAGAAACGGGCAGCCCGGTGCACTAAGCTCCCGCTATGTGCGGGGTCCAGGGAAGGGTCGAATCACATTAGGTCTATTGCACGCATCCTTCTTTGTATATCTTCAAGAGACCGTTTCCACGACTTCAAGATATTTCTGTAAAAGGGTTTTAGCTTAAATAATTTGTGGGGTTGGGCTTATTTAATTCATATATCACTTCTTCCCCACTATGTCCCTGTTCCCCTCTTGTCAAAGAAAAGGCAGATGGGTGCATTAAGCTCCCACTATGTGCGGGGTCCGGGAACGAGCCGGACTGCATTGGGTCTATTGTACGCAGTCTTACATTTCTGCTAGAGGCTGTTTCAACGGCTTGAACTCGTGACCTCCTGATTACACAACAACAATTCTTACTGTTGCGCCAAGGAAAATGTGAGGAAGACTTTAGATGGAAACTTGGTTATTTTGATTGTCTTTTAAATTGAAAGTTGGAAATTGGTATGATTTTTTGTTTCCACATTGAAGTGATAAATCATGAAAATTTTATTTGCTGAAATCTAATTAAATTTAGAGTCTCTGCTGGGTTCTAGTTTGATTAGAACATAAAAACTTCCCTACCGATAAAAGGAAAGGTAGGGAATAAAGATGATGACTGCTTTGTTATTTCATTTGCTTATTGTGCTTCAATGTTAATACTCTGTTGTTTTCGTTTTCGTATACGTGCACCGGAAATGTAGTCGTTGGATTCTTTTAGACAATTATATGAATCTTAGGCATCCAACCTCTTGTGTGTGCAGACCTGTTGGTTGCGAAAGTTTGGTGGATTTCTTAATTTACTTTCAATTTTGAAAAACGACGGGTTGATGGCTAATAAAATTATAGGTGCAGCTCTGTCTCAAATTGTAACCTTTCTTTCTTTCATTATATGGTTTGTAAGATTTAAGATAACTTCCGAGAACAAATTTAGCTGTCTAAGAAAGGTGAAAATGTTACAGATAGTCAGTGGACTTCTAATGTTTAGGGTGTCAGTGGTTCTAAAAATTATGCTATACCAATTTCTCGGTTAATCTATTATGTATAACCAAAATCATACCTTTTAGAACCGTCACATTGTGTCAGTATTTCTTTTCGAAAGAAAAATAAGAATTTCAATGATTTTTAAGATGTCTCATTCTTATGTAAAAAAATAACACCTTATTATAACACAAAAATATACAACTCTTCATCATAGCTTAAGAGAGCTAGTACTAGTTGTCATCTCTCTTACCTATCACAAGTACTAAATTATGAAAGTTCTATTCTCTCTTATTTACTTACTAGCAAAAGAAATGCCTGTTAAAGAAGGATGGAGGAGGCAAAGGCATTATTGACTTAAACTAGTAGAATATAAGTAATTGAAGTATTTTGTTGCTTCTCAAGTTGAAATTTATGGCTGGTTATTATATTTGGTATATATATGATACTTTTATACATCATTTAGGAAGGTTGTTCGGTTAGATTAGGTTCAGATCTATATGTTGGATCGCTTTAACAATATTTTTGACACTCCTACCATAATGCGCATAAGATTCGGTTCTTTAATACCATTAATATTTGCCCTTTTTTGACTAGATTTTGAGATACTTCAATGTGGACCGAATAGTTTCGAAATGCTAATGTAGATTTCTTGTGTTGAACTTGGCTATAAATAGACCTATAGTTGACCACAACTTCATTGTGTTTGTTTTATTGTACTTTTTCTAATCAGCATATGAGATGGCCGGATGGTCGGCACTTCCATATGACCTAATTGAATCAATCGCAAACCTGTTGAACGCAGCTGAAGATTTCCTTTCATTTTCTTCTGTATGCCGCTCCTGGAGGCTAGTTTGTAAAAGCAAGAACTGGCATCCTGGTTTCCAATTGCCATGGCTCATGCTCGGGGAAATGCAAACCAACAAAGGGTCGATGAGGCAATTCTTGAGTATGTGCAAGTTTAAGTTTCATTACTTGCCATTCCCTGAAACTCAAGATTTTCGGTGTTGGGGCGCTTGTCAAGAATCGGTCATCACCATTAACCCAAGATTTGAGGTTCGCCTTGTCAACCCTTTTACTCATGCTTGCATTAATCTTCCATCGATTACCGCATTAAACATCCAAGGTGCTGCTAAAGATTGTTGGTTCTCTGTTATTCACAAAGCTAAATACTTCAAGATTCAAAATGAATATATGGTTTTCATTATATATGGTCCTCGTTCTGAAGTGGCATTCACTAGATCGGGAGACAGCAGGTGGTCTTTGGTTCAATCTTTAATCCCTGCTCGTTTTGTTGATGTTGTGTGCTTTAAGGATCAGATTATGGCACTTTCAATTGTAGGAACACTCTTTTCGCTTGAAACAAATGGAGTCGATACTCCAAGGATGCTGTGCGTTAGTTCTCCGCCCCAACAAGAGAAATCTTGGCAAAAGATGTATTTGGTGGAATCGTCGGGAGATCTTCTGATATTATTCTCTTATCCAAATGGAAACATGGTTAATAGATTCAGAGCATACAGGTTTGATATCTCAAAAAGGGAGTGGATGAGGTTGGAGGACTTGGGTACTAATGTTTTACTTGTTGACACCGATATTTGTACTTCCCTTCCTGCATGTGACTATCTGCAGCGCAATTGTATCTACTTTGTGCACGACAACCTGGATTCGTTGTTGGCATCTGGACCGAGATGTATGGGGAATTACATGAGTGTGTATAACTTGAAAGAAAATTACACCGATTTTATGAATTTAGGAAATGATAATTCCTTTAGGTATATTTCCGCAACCTGGGTACTTCCTAGTTTGTGGTAGAAAGTCGTAGGCGCTCACATTCATGCTTTATTGTAAACCTAGAATAGATAAAGAAAGAGCATAGGATATTGTTCTTCTTCAAGTTTAAATTTGTGTTCATCTTTGCATGTATCAGTGGCTCATTGCAGCCTGTTTGATCATTGTTCTTGCATATTACTTGATTGAGTAAAATGTGGTGAATAGATGCTCTAATTGCTTATCGATTGGTCTTGTTTCTTTGGTCCATATTTCTATTTGGTTGCTGACTTCTGTTCATAGCTAAGAGATGAGTGGATTAGATCAATGTTTACGAAGAGGTAAAAGGCTGCTACTATGCCTAGTTCTTTATTCAGTTTGTGATGCTAATATAAAATGTCTCAACTGTGTTACTGTGAAGTTTTGGAGCTGGTGTTGGAACAATGGGTTAGCGGGGGTTGATCCCACGTAATGGGGTCTGGGGAGGGTAGTGTGTAAACAGACCTTACCCCTACCTTGTAGAGGTAGAGAGGCTGTTTCTAATAGACCCTCGGCTCAGGAAAGCATATAGGTACAACAATAATAACAAGAAAACAAGACGGGACAACACCGAAAAACCATGTAAAAGCAACATACATAACAAGATAGTAAGATGATTGAAATGCAAAAGAAGAAACTAAGTATTAGCACGTATGGATACTGCAAATAGACTTTTTGCAATTGCTATTGAAGTGGGACAACTGCAAAATGAAATTCAAGAGAACCGTAGAGTGCCAAACTTCCTTTTGAGAAGTGTTAGAACAATGATTCAATTTCAATGCTATTTTTTTTTCTTTTTTTTTCTTTTTTTTGTTTTGTGAGTTTAGGTAATGTATCATGAAAGGTAAAAGGAGATAAAAGAATCATGTTGATTATCCCGTAAATATAAGTTGTTTTCCTTCATGTGTAAAAAGGGAATAAATAAGTCAATTAAATTTCGAGACTTCTGTCACCCATTTTGCGACATTCTCCTCCCCAATAAATTATAATACATTTCATTGAGAATTCTTTCTTGGTGTACCTCATATTTCCTTAGGCCGTCTTGATAAGTGAAGATTTTTCTGGATATTGAGTTCTCTCCTATTGAAATTAAGCTAATTTTGCTACTAAAAAGCAATTGTCTTTATAGTTCTCTGTATGGAAGAGAAGTACTAGCACGTAAAAGATGAAATATAATTTTTTTTTCTTTTCTTTTTGGAGCATATAATGTTTGATTTTATATATTTCATATGCGTAATTTAGCTGCAAAATTTTGGTTTGTTTAATTTAGTGATTCTTTTCTCAATCTCAAAGTTGAACAAAACTAAATGGAGTTATCAATAAGTTGAACTGAGAAAAGCAAAACATTTCAATTTCATGTGTGTTAGTTTAAACCAAATATATGACTAATGCAAGGAATAGATTAGTATTTGCTACAAACACACCCAAATTACCAACGAAAAATCGGTTGGTAAATTGATGATATTAGTTGATAAATTGGGTTACCAATCGATTTGGATCCGTTGCTAAAAGGCTCGTTGGTAATATTTACCGACGGATAATATCGTTACTAAAATTACCGATGGAAAATCAATCGGTAAATAGCAAAATTATTCGTTGGCAATTTGCTTGATGAAGTCCAAAAATTTCCATTGGTAAATTTAGCAACCGATATTCCATTGATATGTTAATTGATACAACTTTTTGAGATTTGAGATTCTCTTCTTTTTATATATCTGACTCGTCTTCTCAATTGATACAACTTTTCCGTCAATATTATATTAATTAATACAACCATTATGCGCGAACGAATACAGTTGATAGCTTCTGTACAATGTATTTTTCATCATTTCTATCCTTGTATATACCCCTATTTTTTTTTGTATTTTGCCTTGGTTGTATTCGTTGTGCGAATGAATATAATTGATACAAATTGTATGAGTTGCGAACGAATACTGTTGAGACAAGTTGTATTCGCTACATGAGCGGGTACAATGAATACAAACGCCTAGCGAAGGAAAAATTTGCTACGAATGATAAATACTGTAACAATAGTTGCGAGTTGTAATTAGCTATGATACTGTGCTTTCTGAAAATTGCTCTTAGTAAATTCACTGTGATAGAGTGTTGGTAAAATCGGTTGTCTGTCCTTCCAATTTTCTAGGTAGTCAGTTGGTAATTATAGTAACAAAATAAATATTGTTAGTTTTTTGTTAGTATATTAATTGTCCGATTCATAATAAGTGACTTTTTGGACTTTGATGCTCCCCTTAAGAAAATACTAACTCATAGAAAAAAGAGGTATTTTGACTAAATTATCCTTAACTAAAATTAGCATATTGTTGACATATTGGAATTTGTAAACAAGAGCAAAGTTTGGAAAAATAAAATTAATTCCTTCTTGATTACCTAAAAGGTCACTTATTTTGGACTAAAATAAAAAAGCAAAAAAGTCACTTATTATGGAGCGGAGGGTATGGGTGTCAGTGGATATTTAAAAACCGACTAAACCGACCGCACCGAACCGAACCGAACCAATTTTTAGGTTTCTTTTAATAAAATCGTAGGTTTTTATATAAATCTACAACCGTACCAATAATTAGAGTAGGTTTTTATTTTATAAAAATAAATCAGAAAAATATCGAACCTGCCGAATAAATTTACATGTAAGAAATATATTTATATATTAAGTTTAAAAAATAAAGCATTAAATTTTTCCTTGACCTTTGAAATTATAAAAATGATTACAAGCCAACAAGTAATTAAAATCAAAATTCTAATTCTCAAACCTATTATGCTACTCCTACTGAAACTAAATTATTTTTATCATATTCATTAGCAAGACACGAAGTATTTTAGTGATTATGAGTAGCAAATTAAATGTATTGAATATGTTTCCTTTTGTATGATTTAGATTTATCTTTTTGAATATTTAATCTTCTATAGACTTTATTCTTGAGTCCCAGCTTGCTTAATATCATTCTACTCGTGTGATTTTTTTTTTTTTTTTTTTTTGACTTTGCTTAGTTTCTTTTATACTATTGTAGAGTAGTTGATAGATCTATATTATGGTCATCATTAATGTTTTCTTAATTCATCACCATTTAAACAGTAAAATTGTCTGGAGAGTTTTGCTAAGTCCTATAAAAATATGTATGTTATTGCATTTTACTTTTACTAGCGACTTTTACATGACATTTAAAAAATATCGAAAATTAACCGAACTGTACCGATACCGAAGAGAAGCCGACATGATTGAGACGGTTTCGAAAAGTTTAATTTTGGTTATACATAATAGAATAACCGAAAAATTGGTATGGTACAAAATAACTGGCCGAACCGAACCATTGATGCCCCTACCGGAGGGAATAGTTATTTACTAACGAATGGACAATTCGTTGATAAATATGGCTTTTTTAATTTTTAATTATAGAATTTCCATTGGTAATCGGTTTGTGGATTTTGTAATGAAATATAATTCATTAGAAATCCATTGGTAAATATGGTCATTTAATTATCAAATTTTGTTGGTAATTGGTTGAGAATATTCTATTGTTAGGATAATCGAACTGTCCTGGATTTTTATTTTCAAATTAAAAAAAATTATATGATTGCAGTTTGATAGCTTAAATTGGAAAAGGATTAACTGTGAAATGCAGTTCAGATTATTCTCCAATAAATAATTTTCCTTATAAATAGTACTCCAGTAGCACTATTAAGTTTTTTCCATTCTGGGTATATAATGTTTGATTTTATACATTTCATATGATTTATTTTAAAAAGTTTGGTTGATAGATTTGGGGTGTGTTTGGTACGAAGGAAAATATTTTTCGGAAAATGTTTTCCAATTTCATGTTTGGTTGGATTAAATATTTTGAAAAATATTTTTCTCATGAATTCATTTTCCTTCAATCGGAGGAAAATATCTTCCCTATCAAAAGATAGGGAAAATATTTTTCAAAACTCTTTTTCAACCTTCTTTGCCCTATTTCTCATCCCACTAACCCTCATC